ATCACTTAAATATTCCACAATCAAGAGTACATACTCACAAATCCAATGTACATCTCTTAGGATTTTTTATAACTCTCGATAAATATTCAAGCTAACATCATATATCTTTATTTACTAGTACAATACCTGTGTATTACACGGGTGTCGAATTAGAAAGTTTCTATAAAAAATATTTTTTTTTTATTTTTTCAAAAACTAAAATAATTTAATTTTATATAAAACATTACTTTGGATTTTAATTAAATTGTCATATTATATTTTTTTAATCATAATAATTAAACACCCGTACATTAAATGAAACTGTCCCGTGTTGAATTTTTTTACTTATACCATATAAAAATATCGATATATTTACTATTACATAAGTACAAAAATATATATCTTAAATAAATAAAAATATTATGGTAATATGTATATGCATAAGTGCAGAATAAGTTTATTTAATATTAAGCAAAATAGATTAATTTTTTTTACTTAATTAGATGTCTAATACATCAAGTGTCGTATCAGTCGTGCTTCACATTTTTTTTAGCTTTATATGTAATTTTAGAATTTATATAATAACTATTTATTTTTATTACAGACAACATACTAATTAGATTTGAAATAAATATCATTTTTAAAAGAATACATACCAATTTCTATTACTTTATAATATAATTTTAGGTATTTGATATAATTTAATTTAGTTTGATAAATAAATTTTAATTTTATCTATAAAGATATATATTACTGTTTTGTATCAATTCATAGATAAAAGTATTTTATATCCTTATTAGTAATATATTACTAATAGGCCTAATTCATCGATAAAAGTATTTCATATAAATATATATATATAAATAAATAGTAAAATACAAACGGACTTCATAATATCAATTCAAATGCAAAACACTAATTAAGATTTTTTTTCTTGACAATATTAACCCTATTTAATGGATGTTATGGGAAATGATGGAGATGAGATATGAAGAAACACTGTGTATTAGATGGAGGGTTAAAAACGAAAAAATATGAACAAAATATCTAAAACGACATTTATTTTTATCAATGATCAATTAGAAATAATAAAAATAGGAGGGAATATATATTATTATATATTTTAGTATGACACATGTTACTTGTGTGACTTATATGTGTTATATTATAATAAATTTTGTACCTTATAACATATAACTACATTAAACATAAATATATTAATTGATAAATAATTTTATTTTTTAATTAATTATAATAAATAATTTAATTATTATTATAAAGATAAATATAATTTTAGAAAATAATATTAAAATACAAGTAATACAAATATTAATTTATATGGAAGCCTAACTCCAAAACATGATTTTTTGCCAAATAGGATTTCAAAGCATGAGAATTTGCCACGTATATCAACTTTTAAAATATATTTGCAATTCAATGGTTATAATAGAAAATGATATTAAAATATAATTAATACAAATATTAATTGATAAATAATTTTAAATTTGAATTAATTTTAATAAATAATTTTATTATTATTACAAAGATAAATATAATTTATTTATTTTATATATACAATATGGATGTCAAATCGAAGTTCATCAAAAGATAATTAATTTGATATATTATATATATAAAACCGATAAGAAATACAAAAGTTATCAACTTTTAAAATATATTTGCAATTCAATGGTTATAATAGGAAATGATATTAAAATACAAATAATACAAATATTAATTTATATCCAAGCCTAATTCCAAGCATGATTTTTCACCAAATAGGAGTCCGAAACATGAGTATTTGGCTCAGCACATTTTGAAATTATATATAGAGGGGATATCATATAAACCAGACTAATATTATTGATGCAGTATCAGCGGGTAAAAGATTCATTGAGTCCTATTTCATCATGGCTTGGCACAATTATTTGTCGTACCAAATCGAACTAGATAAACCACCCGAGCTCCTCACCATTCAAAAAAGTCAAAAAGTTTCATTTGGGTCACTATTTCAGGGCTTGGCCCAATTATTTTGTCATCCGGCCTCTAAGCTTCTTGGATCAGCATTAGTTTGTGGGTTTTAAGTTGGGTTAAATAAGGCTGTATCCGTTTTGATAATTCATAAATGAGCTGAAAAGAATTCGAGTGAAATTCGGGCTCGAGTTTTTATTGACCCTCTTCGACTTGTTAATTATTTGAGTCTATAAATGAGCTTAAATTCATTTAAACTTGAGCTTTAACAAGTCGAATAACATAATAGTTCAAAAAATATATAAAATCCAACTCAAACCTTCACGAGTCTAGACGAATTCGATCTTTAACGAACCGAGTCGGATTGAGACACGAACAGCTCAATTATTTTAACTAAAAAAATTGGTGCTCTTAAATTGCCCAAGTTAACCATAATTACATCCACTCCTATAATATTGTCAATTAATATATTTTTTTTTTGGTACATTATTTTATTATTTTTATTTCAAATCAACTCCAAAAACATTATTCTCTTCACTTTTTCATTTCATTTTTTCAGATACGATAATGTTTTTTGAAAAATTTTAATATCAAATTCCCAGTTATGTAATTTTATCTCTCAATTAATCATGCTAATGTAAGGAAGTTTCGAGATTAGGAATCCAAATATTATGTGAATCTCGACTTTGGTACAATTGTAATTATTGGTTCCGTGGAATGCATACAGAAATAGATATGTTCAATTCAAAGGTCATAATATTATGGCATGAATATAGACATTTAAATTTCAATGATCATAATGCAATGTTTATAATTATACATACATATGTAAAATTCAAACATAATAATAACGTGACAGCCCGAAACAAATAAAAGATGATAATTAGGCACCGCGGGATGGGTGACTTCACTTTGTAATGGGTTTTTATTAGTTCTTGTGAAGGCCAAACACGAAATCATAATTATTGGACTTCTCATGGCTTTGTTTGGTGGTTAGAATTTTGAGACTAAATTAAATTTTTGGGTTCGGATCAATTGAATTTTTTAATTTTATTATTTGATATGTAACAGTTTGCTATAGATTTTTAATTGAAAAATCTAATTTAGAAACGAACTCAATGGTTGGAGCTTTTTGAATTAGAGAATAACAGTTTTAGTTAATTTTAAGTAATTTTACTCCAGCTCTATCATGAACTGAGATGGGCATGGAACAAGTGAACAACCCTTCTTTTAGGTTCATCGATATTGAATTAATCAAACGAACTTCGAACATACGATCCCCACATGTATGATACAATATTGTGACGGGAATACAATTTTATATGTTTATAAAAATATAATTTTTTTTAATTATTTACAACTAAAAGTAAATTGTTCAATTGTGCAAACATAAAATCTTATAAATGATCATCTATGAAATATACTATAACTCATAAAAAAAATTGAAAAAAAAATGTGCATAATTTAAAAATCAACATTTTTTTTATTTTTAAGATGAATAGTCTAATATTGAACAATTGCCATCTATCCACCATCATGGATGGTGGTGTACACATATAAGCAATACATGATCAATATTAAGAATTTCTATAAGCTACAAAAATCAGGTAATATTTTTTCGAATACCTAAATCAAATTTTAACATTTATTTGTTGTGGACCAAAGCTATTAGATAAACTTGCATGCAAAATTCAATTAATCAGAACTGCAAATGAGGTTCATTTTTAAGTATTAAAAGATTAATGTATTCACATGTCCAATTACCTATTTTTTCTTATATATATATTTAACCTCGCAAAAATAATCTTGTGCAGTTTACATGTATCTATCACGCTAATAGAACTTTTTTGATTGAAATAATTTTCAAATGTATATATTATAATTGTAGTCAAAATCACGTTAGAGAAAATGTCTTTTTTCGTGGTCCAAGTCTTAAAAGCGCTTTAGCAAGTAACACGCGTCCTGGCCTAAGCGGAAAAACCATAAAAAAACTAATTATTGCACCGTATTAACAGGCGCGACGTGAGCAAAATTGCATAATCAATGCAAGAAAATGAGTGACACGTATTTTTTATCTTTCTGTTTATTTATTGAAAGTGAACTAAAAATTAAAAAAAAAATAATTAAATAAATATACAATAAAATTCTTGCTTTGTTTTTCTAACTTCACAAAGCAGCCATGAATTATGAATTATGGTATAGATTTTACAATGTTTGATATGACTAACCAAAACCCACCTATCAAAATCAATTAGGCACCTCTGGAAAATTATGAGTCTCATGGAAAATAATGACAAAATAAATTTTAATTTAATTAACCACATATTAAGAATAGTCCAAAAACTGCAATGGGATGCATGGTAAAATAAAATTGTTAATAACGATAATAATAACAATATTAATACAACATTGGCAATTTTTTTTTTTGTTCGTTTTGGATACTGGTAGAAGATTTAATTAGCCAATAATGGATAATATATTGAATTAGTAGTTCTTTAATTTAACTAATTATTACGGACTAAATCAGATAATAATAGATAAATGAGTAAGTTAGTGTATTTGGCTAATCGATTGATTTAGCTGATTATATGTAAGTGTTCAATAAATTTAGTTTTGCTATGAAGGCATTGTTGGCTTGATAACAAAACTGTCAATAAATTAGTCACTTGATATTTAAAAAATAATCACTATTCCAAAATGTTTCTATTGAGTTTTTTAATATAGTGTTCTATAATCTCAAAATTTATTTCAAATTGCTACCTATCACCGCACATTAAATTAACGTTCTATAATCCTAAACAAACGCCATACTTCGTAGCTGCGACAAACAAAGAGTAATTATTAAAAATAGCACTTTGATTTTCCTTTTAGAAAAAGTGGTAAAAGATCCAAAAGTGTATCTATTTTTTAAATTAGCTCTCAAAGTACTGTCTCATATTCTTGAGTGTCACAAGGTTCAAAGCCAAATCAATGCCTTGCCCATTGCGGCCATTGCCTTCATTGAAAGTAGGTTTATGTAGCTTTCACACAGTTAAATTTACATAGGTTTCCCTATCCTCAACACCTTCTATAAATAGCATGCCTCACCATAGGCTACTCAAGGCACAAACCCTTCAACACACCAAAAGTGAAGCCAAAGCCTAAGACCAATTTGCATCTCAATAGCAAATTCCACATCACAAAATTTATAAAAAATGGCACCAACATCACTTTTGGCCATAGCTCTTGCCTTAGCCATCTCCATCCAAGGAACTCTAGGTAAGTTATCAATCACATTTCATACATCACTTTTTTGTCACATTTGTATGTATTGCAAACATACAATTAAAATTTTAATAAACAAAACAGGTGAAATTCGGTGTGAGGACCTGAACGAGAACTCGTGCGCGTTCGCAGTCTCGTCCACGGGCAACCGCTGCGTGCTCGAGAGCCGAAGCTTCCTGCGCATGCTCGGAACTCCGGACGGGTACACGTGCCGCACGTCCGGGATCATGGCTTCCGACAGGCTCACCAACTACATCGAATCCGAGGAGTGCATCGCCGCCTGCGGAGTCGACAAGCGGGCCCTCGGCATCTCCTCTGACTCCCTACTCGACCACAACTTCATCAACAAGTTATGCTCCGTGTCGTGCTACAACAACTGCCACAACATCGTCGACCTATACTTCAACCTCGCAGCCGGTGAAGGTAATATTAATTTGATTCAATTAAGTTACATCTTGACTTGAGGCTTGATGTACATCATTTGATGTTTCATAATACATTCACATGATGTGGAATTGATTCTATTATCAAATAAATTGGACATTATGAGCACTATTACATAATTACACCAAATTGTGTGCTATGTGAATCATCATCCTTTGGTTGATTCTTAAAAAAAAAGTCAATGTTATTACTCCTTTTGGCTAACATTTATAGTTTATCATGAAAAAAAGGTGTGTACATCCCCAAAGTATGCGAAAGGCACCGCTCAAGCGCACGTCGTGGGATGAGGGAGGAAAAATTCAACTCGGCGAGTGGACTTGCCTACGCACCAACTAGTCTATCAGAAGCTAAAGATATCTTTACCGACACACCTGGTCCCGAAGCCGCAACTCCGGAAGCCTATTGAAGTTTCTCTATACCTTATGAAGTTTCTCCTAGGGGAAATTTTATAGGCTCTAAAGTTAAAAACCCTCTTTATAGTGTTAGTTGTGGTTAGGCGCAATCATAAAATAAGGAATTTTGATCCATTTCACCTAGGTATTATTTAGTGATTGAGGGTTGTTTGGAAAAGTTGCATCACCGTTCGTCCACTATTTTTACCTTAATTGTACTTTCATCCTTTATTTATACCGAATTACGTTTGATACGGTTTTGTTTTTTTATTTTGTTTTTTTGTTATATATATATATATATATNACAAATATATCACATAGTAAGCACACACACAATCAACGATCACCAATTGGCACAACAACGCGACAATAGCCTTCAAATTCTCTACATCAAAATTTAGAGAAAAAATTGAAAGACATGAATCACATTTACTATTCTCTTATAAAATTCAAAGAAAAATTCCCCTTCAGATTCTCTACATCAAAATTCATAGAAAAATTATTATTAACAATGATTCAAAACCCTAATTTTCTCAAATCACTCACCAAAATTCCCCTAATTTCTTCATCCCGATGGAGAACTAGACACAATAGTCCCAGCGCCAGCGTCGGCGACTTACTCGAGGAGCTCGACAACCGCGTCGACGTCCTGACCTTATCCAACGACGGCGGTGGCAGCGAGAAGAGCGAATTCGAGGTGCCCGTGGTGTACGGCGGAGGCCGGAGGATCTCTGGACGGTGGAAAAAAAGGTGTGCACGGCCACGACAACCGCAATGTCGAGGATTTAGATCGGATCAAGCAAATTGCATCTGAACGGGAGAGAGAAATCAAGCTTTTGAAGTAACGTTTGAGACTTGTGGGGATGAGGAAACGAAGGTGAAGAAGGATCCGGATTTAGACCCGAACAATAAACACTTATTCTCAAACTCAAATATTCTCTTTTATATTAACTTTTGAATAATACCCCTATCTTTAAGAGTTTAACAACTTTACAAATTATAGTTAATATTATTTTATATTTCAATTAAAAAAGTACAACAATTATTATAGAGTGATAATTCATACACATGCAAAATATTGAAATACATAATTGTTCAATAAGCCAAAAATAAAAATTTTCGCATAATTATTTTAGAAATATTATTTGAATTTATTACCTATCTTTTAATAGAATGTTAATAAGTTACTTTGAAGTATCTATATAAATTTTTAATAAAATATTTACAAAATTTACGGGATTAAATTTATCATTTGATATGCATAATATATATCTAATTTTTATAATACTTTTTATTGTTAAAAAAATAGTGTGTATATATATTACACAATATAATATGTTTTAAACTATTAATAACCAATACATCATAATAGTTGTTGGTGGGATTTATTGCTTTCTTTTTATTATTGTACCAATTGGTAATTAAAATAAAAGAATGAGTTGAGATTGCAATTTTAAAAATACCAACACAAATTTTGTTTGCGATTTTTTAGTCGCATTTTGCGTCTTGGGAGTCGGGTGGAGATGATCTTATTAGGCGCGTACGCAAGCAGATTATGTTTTTATCTATTTATTATTAATTTTATTAGTTTTTTTTTTGTAATTTTATCCGATTGTATGTGTCTACTCGACATTGAATTTGCTACGTTACGTCGAAAAATTATAAATGAGACTGGTTGGGCGCTACATCAGCATTTTCGATTGAAATAAGGGTCGAAATCTCAATTTGGAGGAATTGTCAAACAAAAAAAAGTGTACCAAACTTAAACTCGAAATAAAAAATAATGAAAATGCAAATAGGGCAAATATACTGGATGAATGATGCAAATTTTATGGGGTTGTTTACTTATACAAATACTTACAAGTAGACATGGTTCGGACCAAATTGGTCTAGTCAAATCCATTGACAGCGGCCCGGGAACCGGCCAGTGGTTTTAACCAGGCCGGTTCATGTTCACAAAAATAGTGTTGACATTTGAACTGACAATCTCGCCATCATCCGACGCGTAGCATAAAGGGAAACAATCTCCATCCGACCTCAAAGGTCGGACTGAATAAACTATTTAGCTCAACACTCATATGAAGTAATCAGCTCGACATTGAACACGGTTCCATGAAAAGTACATTCCCCCACCACAGGTGCTGACCTACCACATGTGAAGACCGATATGTGACAGTGCATTAAATGCTGACAGAAGTCATGTCCATCGTACTGTAAAAAATTATCATTGGGAGTGGGTCCCACCCTGCAGAGCCGCACATCGCCATCAAATCGAATTTAATGCCGATATACTGACATCGTGAAAAATGCCTGTGGATTTTGCACTATAAATATCTTTCATTTCTTGTAATAGGACACACAAATATTTTCTTACTAAAAATAACTCTGCTTTTATAATAATACTCGGGTTGAATCAATATATAAAAAAAGTCATCCGACCTCAGTACAGTATACAAAATTCCATTTTTACTTAGGGAGATCTTCTCACTCGTTGACTCAAATTTCACACGTCAACAAATGTAATTTTTTGAACCGTCGGTTCCAGTTCAAGGTCGTCCCGAAACTTGCCTGAGAGGCCTAGAAGTTTTTATTTATTGATTTTTCTGCAAACTTCTATTTTTTTTTAAATTTTTGGGTCCGGCCGAGCTGAAGTCTTTGACGGACTGTTTTGCATGTTTTTGTGGTTATTTTTATGTGTTTAGCCGAGTCGTTTCTAGGTTTGTTTTCTTATGTAACCTGTCTATTTTAGTTTGTTTTGTGCATTTTTACTTTCGGTGTGTGTAATTACTTGCTATGATTGGTTAAATTATAAAAAACTTACAGAAATTTTAGGAACATTTCAAAATGCTACTAACGTATTTTTGGTGTTTATTATCCTACTGCTCAACTTGTGCTAAGTCAATGCGTAGTCGTAATATGGGGTTTTAGATATATTTTGCTAAGGATCCTGACAAACACGACGAACTTGTAAAAGATATGTTATGAAAATGGTTAAAATATTAATTTTACATTCTCGGTACATTTTTAGTTGCATGATTGTTAGATACTTCACTACGTGAAAGTAACTTGCTCAACCAACTTCACACATGTTATGATATTATGTATCAACTCCCACTTTCCTATGATGTTATTGATGTCAGTGAAAGACCTAACCCATAGCTGCTCGTCGAGCAAGCAAAAGTTTTATTGTCTGAATTGTCTAGGAAAACAACAATCGGACTCGAAAGAAATTCGGTCATTTTCTTTTCATGCTTTTGGGTCTTCTTGTGGACAATGGGGACAACGGCGCAACAAGCCTAAAACTTAACTGACTGGTGGTTAATTTTGATCCCTTCAAAAATGCCAACATTCAAATGGCAATGAGAGCTAGACACGATGAGCTAGATCAGTTTCTCATCTCGAGTTTGATAGTTACGAATGCTCGTGAACTAGTTGGGCCACTCAAATTCAACGTCATGGATTAGTGGCAAAAAAGTGAGTACCATTTATCATATTCCATGCTTGATGGCTAAGAATGTTTTCACAGTCCCGACCTCAACAGTGGTGGTTGAACAGACATTTTATTGAAAGAGGATATACACTGAAGCATGACGGTCGAGATTGACACCACAAAATCTAGAGGCTCAAATGTTGTTGAGCGATTGGATGAAGGCCGAAATAAGAGCACGAACGGTCATGCTAACTACCGAAGAGGATGATGAAGAAGAGGCAACTGATTTTTACTAGTACTAGTAGAACCGTTGGTAGGAGTGAGCAAAACCGAAAACCAACCGAATCGATTATGTGCGGTTTGGTTCGGTTTTTTAAGGGTTCGGTTTTCAGTGCGGTTAAAATTTTGAAAAACCGCACAAATTTCGGTGCGGTTCGATTTTTGTCCGAATGATGTGGTTTTAACCGTACCGCACCGAATGTGTTTTTTTTTTTTTAAAATATATTTTTACAAATATGAAATATGTTAACATTTTTGTATTGTACATATAAATGCTCATTTTGGGCCTTTGGTTTGGGATGACTAATACTAACAATAAATAAGTAAAGTAATAAATAATAACAATAACAATTAAAAATTAATAGCATTGCATTAAAATCTAATTTCTTGCCTTAGTTTTTCACTTTCAGTTCAAATCTTGAGCTAAGTTTGGTAATGTTGCACATTAGATGATGATGATGATGATGTAGCTTCATTTTTTTTTGGGTGTTTTTTTTTTTTATGTTAAATTTGCGATTAACCGAAACCGCACCGTACCGAACCGAAAATTTCAGTGCGGTTTCGGTTTGGTTTTTCTACATGTTTCGGTGCAGTTCTGTTTGGGTAAATAAAAAATTCGATTTTCGGTTTTTTGCCTGCTCGGATCGATCTGACCCAAGGACTCCCTTCTGGTATTGATACTCAACTCGTTCGGTGCGATTTTGCACCGAACCGCACCATGCTCACCCCTAACCGTTAGAACCGAAGACAACTACGAGACCTACGATTACTACAACGTCGGTTCAACAATGCATTCTGCCATCTTCTTTCATGAAGGTATGTAAAGTAAGAGAATTATAATCACTTTGATTCCTAATGTAAGATATATGTAGGCAACTTAATTGACATATTATAAGTTAAAATATTATTTTTAACAAAAATATTCGTCAACTTAATAGAAATTGTAACTTATAATATATCATCTAAGCCCAACCCCCCAACCATT